ATGCGGAAGGCGAGGGAGGGAAGAGAGGATGGAAGTGGCGAGAGTGACAGACCAGTTCAAAACTCTATCCCGAAGAGTTGAGGATGAGTCTCTATTTATACAACTCCCCAACGGGCGGAAAAGAAAACGGTACACGGCACCAGCGACCATAGCGAAACTCTTGGCTAGTTAACTCTGAAGCAGCCCCGGGAGACACCATTTTACAAGGAAGATGATCCACAGACAAGCTATGGAAATAGCAGAGCTACCTTATTTAGTCCGAGGCGGCAATCTGAAGCTTGTCATGAAAGTAGCTACTAAGATTTCCATCCACAACGAAGCTTTGATATCAGATGAATTGACCTATCACAGGCCGAGTAAGTGTTGTATTAGCGGTAGGGGTCTCTCTGACAAAAAGGCCCGTGATATAATGTCGATCCGTTTCGAGTCGACCGTTGCGGCTACCTCGATATAATTCGACGGTAACATTTAGCCAAGACACGGCCAAATACCGCGGCTACGAAAATGCCTCACCGGGTGCGGTTCGTTAGTGATCGATCTCATACGCGGGTCATGTCTGGGGTTATCGTAGAGACGTACGCAGGTAGTCCCTTGCCACAGTTTCAGCACTGACCAGAGATGAAACCGCCGCTCGATGGACTTGGAAGTGCAGCACGTGATGAATTATACCAAACAAACAATAATGTGTTGAAACAGAAACAAATCGGTTGCCAAGATGTCAGGGTATCTTCTCAAGGAGCTCCCGTCTCGGCTCTCCAGAAGATACCAGTGCCAAGAAGAGTCCTATCAGAGATCATCGCTTCTGGAAATAGCTAAGACAAGACGGAAACAATACGAAGAGATATACTAGTTATTAATAACCTGCGCTTAGAGTTTACTGTACGTCAGTTTCGTCGTTGCGATTCTTTGTACATAATATGTCTATGTTGATCGATGAGGCGAAGAGGTCGATTAGCCATCAAATCTTAAGTTATCAAAGTCTCAGCTAGGCGAGATAGGTACGATGAAGCCTCGAAGCTTAAAGTAAGTTAGTGTTAAGCCTCTCGGAGATGAATCTTAACGTCGTCTCTAGTTACGGGCCTTCTCAACAACAAGGGATGGGCTATAATAACGGGGACGACCTAGTCAATCGTACCTATGTAGTAGTATGCAGATCTTATCGGAATCCTTGAAACCCCACGGGAAAAGAAGCCTCACATCGTCTAGCTCGCCTAGGGTTGCGATAAGATGTCCAATTGACAAGAGATTGCTGTGGCACCTTCATTCAAGCCTCGTCACTCGGGATTGAGGCCCCAATAGGACTGCTACAGTGTGCGCAATCGATACCATATATCATATCATATCAACCTAACCTAACCTTATGGCGATAATAATTCGTACCCGGAGTAAAATGTCCACTTGGCGGATTGGCAAATTCTTATACCGAACCGATGAAACTTGAAACCATTAAATGGCTACTTGTTCTGCAGCGGGCAAGGCAAGCGTTACTACCCGCTGGCGTACAGATAGTGTACCATATGTAAGAGAGTTGAGACTCGAGAGGGCACAGATGAAAGCCATACCAGTTATATTGAAGTCGAAGTCGTATGTAGGGGTTCTCTTGGCCAAAACTCTTGGCTTTAGTGGTGCGGCGACCACGGTGTTGACCAATGGGAACAAGCTTAATGAGCCAGCCGGTGCCAAGAACGTCGACAGCCTCAGCGACAAAAGCTTGGTTCGTCTACCTACCTAGTCGACTTCAGAAATGCGATGAAAGATGAAATTCTTCAAATCGACTTGTGGGGGTTTGGAGAGGCGCATGGGCTTTGCGCATTCACCCAATAACGACAGATTATTTACCCCGTCCGCCTATACCCCTTATGTGCCTTGTAGGTAGCAATCCAATCTCAACTGCCGGAGAATGATTACGCAGTACGCAATATTGCGCTCCGCATTGGTAAAAGGGGAAGGGTTTTGCTAAGGACAGCGATTGAAATGAAACCCCAAGTATCAATGTACTCACTTAGGTAAAAGTTCCATGGTTTTTTATGTAATCCGTAAGCAAAATGATATTAGATTAGGTACTTTGGTACTCCCAGTGGAAGAGTCCAACATAACTAGGTAAAATAGTTGTTCCAAGTTCCGTACTTAATGATAAGATAAGGAATTATTTTTCTAAGCCCATCTATCAGGTACTCTATTGAAGTGGATGGTCTATCACTACAGACACCAACCATTCCAACTTCAAAATCTCTTATTTGCTACCGTGAATCCAACATCATGAAGCGCAAGTTAGACGAGAATGATGCGCCGGTCTCAACCGCCAACGCTGAAGCCCCGAGCGCCGGTATGACCGCCACATTCGCAGATTTCGGCCTCGACAGCAGACTCCTTCAAGCCACAGCCCGCCAGAACTGGCATACGCCAACCTTGGTTCAAAGCAAGGCCATACCGCTGGCTATCGATGGTTGTGATGTGCTGGCAAAGGCTAAGACAGGCTCGGGGAAGACTGCCGCTTATACCCTACCCATCCTCCAAGCTATCCTCAAGCGCAAACAGGTATGAACATAACATAACCTACTTCAGATCAGATCAGACATGACAGGATGGGACTAATTCCAGGCCAGACCTCATCAGATTCCTATACGGCCGCTCTTATCCTAGTCCCAACGAACGAATTGGTAACACAAGTCGCCAAAGTACTCGAATCTCTCACTTCGTATTGCTCTAGAGAGATCAAGGTCTCCAAGCTCTCCGATAAACTTTCCGATGCTGCCCAGCGCGCCGTCCTCTCAGATTCGGCTGATATAGTGGTTGCGACACCTGCAAGAACATGGCACAATATCAAAAATTGCGCCCTGTCCGTGGAGAAACTTACACACTTAGTCTTAGACGAGGCAGACCTTGTATTGTCATACGGGTACGATGAAGATCTACAAAATGTCGCGTCTTCGCTACCAAAGGGATTGCAGACAACTCTCATGAGTGCGACGCTCACGCCAGAAGTTGACACCCTAAAGGGGCTTTTCTGTCGAAATCCGACAGTTCTGGACCTAGTTGAGCCTGATGAAGATAGAGGCGGTGTTTCGCAATTTGTTGTCAAGTATGGCTGCGCATCTCCTATTTTGAATTGCAATGCTAACGGATGTATAGGTGCGGCGAGGACGAAAAATTCCTCCTTATTTATTGCATGATAAAGCTAGAATTGGTTAAAGGAAAGGCAATTATATTTGTCAGTGATGTTGACCGATGCTATCGACTTAAATTGTTCTTTGAGCAATTCGGAATACGGAGTTGCCTCTTGAATTCTGAGTTACCAGTTAATTGTCGAATCCATGCTGTCGAGGAGTTTAACAGGGGAGTTTACAACATTATCATTGCCTCCGACGAAAACGAGGTGGTAGGCGAGGAAAAGGACCAACTTGAATCGACCAGTGAGGGGGCCTCTAGTAATGCTCATGGAGATGCCACCAATGAGATGCCGGAAAACAGCGAACAAAGCAAGGCCATTGTTCCGACTTCTAAGAAACGCAAATCCTCACGACGCGATAAAAATTACGGAATATCTCGAGGAATCGATTTCAAGAATGTTGCAGTCGTCATAAACTTCGATTTACCATTGTCATCTCGCTCGTATCTGCACAGGATAGGGCGGACTGCGCGCGCGGGGCAAACGGGCATGGCATTGTCCTTTGTTGTCCCCAAAGACAAATTTCGGAAGCACATGCCTACCAGCATTGAGACAGCAGAAAATGACGAGAAGGTGTTATCTAGGATCATCAAGCAGCAGGCTAAGAGAGGTCATGAAGTCAAACCTTATAATTTCGACATGAAGGCCGTGGAGGCATTCCGCTACCGAATGAATGATGCCCTAAGAGCCGTCACAAAAGTAGCTATTAGGGAAGCGCGACTACGAGAGCTCAAGCAAGAGTTACTCAAGAGCGAAAGTTTGAAGCGCCACTTCGAGGAGAATCCTCTGGAAGTACGTCATCTTCGCCATGACGTTGAACTTCGTACAACAAGAAGCCAGCCCCATCTCAAGCATGTCCCCGACTACCTATTGCCAAAAGATGGGAAGAAAGCAATCACCCCCAACGAGGTTGGATTCGTACCATTTAAGAAGGTACTTGATGGGAAGGGGAGGAAAAGCCGAGTTTCAAAAGGCAGGGGTAGGCGGATTACTGGTCGTAAGAGCGATCCTCTGAGATCGTTTAAGGCAAGATCCAAGACCAAGTAGGTACCTGTCAGGCTGTTTTGTTCCTTCTTAGCTAGAAGTAGTCTCATACTCATAGATACCCACAACCCTCATAATCTAGCAACAGCGACTAATCGTGCCTCCCCTACGAGCATCCTTCCTAGTTCGTGACTTCACATACCTGCTCGTCTTACAAGTCGTCCTATCCAGTATTACAAACCACTCAATAGCCTCCAGCTCAAGCTACAATACTAGGTAACCACGGGTTAATGCGATCAATGCTACCTGAACGCGCGTTAAAGTTAAACTACCTACCTACCTACCTAGGTCGGTAGGTAAGTAAGTGTTATTTTAGTCTGACCAAGCTAATAAAGTTTGCTGATAAGGTTTGCAAATAAAGTATTTAGAGCAGTGCCTTCTGATATATAAGGTGGCTGCTTCGACCTGCCATTTTTTGACCTACCATTTTCCACTTTCTCGACCTACCATTTTTCATTTTCTTGACCTATCATTTTCTAACCCAAGACACACTTCCTCTAAATCACGACGCAGCAACATCATCAAGATAAATCGTTAAATTAGAATATGGACAACAATCAATTGCAGCCCGACTTAGAGCAAATCAGTGCTGCTTTTCAGCTCCTAGCAGATCAAGTTCCTCAGTTCGCTCGCGTGCTAGTCTTCCAGCAGCAAAATGACATGCTCAATTTGCTCCGGGACATCCAAGCAAGACTTGCAGATACCCAAGCGCAACTAGCCAATATTCATGGGCAACTAGCCGATATTCATGGGCAACTAGCCGATGTTCATGGGCAACTAGTCGATGTTCATGGGCAACTAGTCGATGTTCGGGAAATATAGCGAGACTCTAAGAGACCTAGTCTAGCTTCAATCATCGCCTTCTAATCTAGAAAACTCTCTAATACCACCCAAAAAAACAACATCCACTCGAACCGCCGATGCAAGGGTGATATTGCAGGCTCTGGAAGTACTACTGTCCGTTCTCGATCAATATATCTAGCCAACCGAGTTGAACGATGCCACCACACCAGACAGCAACCTACGCTAGGCCAATGCAGAAGCTTACCATCATCGCAGAGTTGCAAAACAGGATACCTATTGATTTTGATCATCATAAGCGATCAGGCATGCTCACCGAGGCCGAAAACAGTGGCAAGGCTGCTGCGAATGTTCCTGCCATTGCGAATGTTCCTGCCGCTATGAATGTCCCTGCCGCTGCAAATGTTCTTATCGCTACCCCGGCTATCGCAGATCCGGTCGTCGCAGACCAAGCCGCTGACGCAGCACCTATTACGTCGAAACATAAACGTGGTGGCGTGTCTACAGGAGCCGAGGTAGATGGAAAAGGTTCCTATTTACACAAATGGGAATATGTATTATTCTCTAGGACTAATATCCAGAACGATCCCCAGCAGCTGGATGGATCGTTCGTAGATCGTGAGCAGGCCAATGCCAAATTGGATGAAATAACGCGCCGTGATAACTCCGAAGATGGCATAGCTGCCGTAACCCGTAGACTCGTCTATGAGTATACCCCATGCAAGTTACTCAAAGTCAAGCGCACGCTAACCAACGGCGAAGAGCGCGTTCTGTGGGTGGAAAGGCGCTGTGTGGATCTCCAGCACGACCTTACCAAGAGCAAGCGCGCACTCAAAAAGTGGTCTGCTAATAGGCCTAAACTACCTCTCTATATAGTGGAGTGCGAATTCATGACGCGAATGACGGCAGAAACACCCCAGCAGGTACCCGGAGAGAGTGATGAATCCATTCCCGCCATGGTTCACGAGCAAATAGGCGCTCTTAGCGGTGAAATCGAACTGTATCGTCTACCACTAGCCCCATTCACGGAGAGAGATCTAGCTAACGAGCACGCCGGCACCCTGTTCCTAGAACACTCAAGAGTCAGGGAGGAGATCCGATGGCCAGTAGATGATTATTGGTGGGAGGAACATGCGGTAGCAATTCACATGGAAGCAGAGAAGGTAGCAAGAATGCCTGGGGCGCTGTATGTTGCGGAGATGTACACGCACGATATGAATACAAGGCTGGGGTTTGATATGATCAGGGTGGGGGTTTATGCGGTGGATGATGTAAATGGGCCGATGAATAACTGATCAGGGTATATGTGCTGCGGTTTCGAAGGTAGGGCCAAGGCTATGGCTTGGGGAGGAGAGGAGGAGGGCGTCGTGCTTGTGCTATGCGGGCAAAGAGATTGACCGGGGAGGAGTTTCGCGATGATTTGTAGATAGGAGGCAATGCCAGGGCTACGAGTATACTCATTCGGCAACGATATGCGTTGATTTCAAGCTGAATTCTTCCCGGGGGTTAAAAATGAATCAATAGAAATTCATGGTTTTACAGAAAATAGGGTCTGAAATGAACATTGAGACAATTAAATGCGTCTGGGAAGAATTTCGGTATATTGTGCATACTTACACAAACTACCTACCGATCTGTGATTTATCGTCCGGGCTGCTTGGGAAACTCCGGATGCAATGTAGTCGGAAGCCAGCAGCTGCGTTGTTGTCCGGCTGGAGAATATTAGTGAAGTCGGAGGTTCGGCGCGGAGCAGAGTGACCGCTTCCGAGAAGTTTTGCCTAATATGGTAGTATATGCCGAAGGCGGGGCCGACCGAAGTCACTAGATAGGCCGGGCTACAAACATGCTAGAAGACATGTCTGCCTGGTCTCTTAAAATTAAATCCAAACCTGAGGTAAACCTAACCTGCATATCAGCTTTAAAGATTGGTCAAACTCGATATGCTTTGAGCCAGCAACGCATCTTTTAGTAAAGTCAATATATTTAGTCGAGCCCTACTGCGAGGGTAGTTAATGCATCGTATCGCCGGTTCTTCCTATTATACAATGCTACACAATACAATGCCGGTACACCTCGCCCATAGGCATACCGTTATTATCGATGCTGCGCCTGATACTTGGCCTTCTCGGGACTCTCATTAGTCTTTAAATCGCAATCGTTATTGCATCGTTTTGAGGAAGCCGTCTAAGTCAAAGCTTTCCTCGTACTGGCGGTTATCCCAGAGTTCACCTAGATCATCTGCCCATGCCTTCTTGCCTGGTGCTCTCACGTCTCCCGTTTCAACATCCACCATGTCCTCCTCTCGTCCTTCGATAGTGCCTTGAGGTTTATCTGATATCAGGCTCGGTCCTGAATCACCTAGGCTGAAGAGGTCTAATATTTGGTCCGTGTCCATGGTTCCCTTGAGAGCGAATTAGTACGATTTTCGGCGTGGCACATGAGCGATGTTACTTACTAAGCCGGCATTCTGTTGGTTCACTACGGTAGATGCCACATCTATCTTGAATGCTTGAAGGCTATATCCAGCAATTAGTAGGTGCTAAACTAAGCGCAGATATGTGTGCACTTACCTCAGAATCTTCTCTTCTAGTGTGCCTCTCGTAACCAACCGGTAAACGTTGACAACTTTCTTCTGCCCGATTCGGTGAGCACGGTCCATGGCTTGGAGATCTCGTTGAGGATTCCAGTCATGCTCGACAAAGATGACAGTATCCGCTCCTGTAAGGTTGAGACCTAAGCCACCAACGCTGGTGGTGAGTAGTAAACAGTCGTAGGAGGGGTCCTTGTTGAATTTATTAACGATGTCCTGCCGCTTATTCGCCTCAACAGAGCCGTCGAGTCGTAGATATGAAACAGAAGGAAGCATGCGCTTCAATACTGTATTCTGGACCATGTCAAGCATTTCTTTCATCTGGCAGAAAATCAACGCGCGATGCGGCTTTATTGGCTGGTAGAGAGGGTCGTTCGAATCGGTACCTTCAATTCCAATACCGCAATCAACCAACAAGTCTTTGAGAGCGGTTAGCTTGGGAGCGTGTACCGGGTCTTCTACGCTAGTTCCTTGTTTCGCAAGGAAGCGCTGGGTGTCGTCGTAAAGTTTGTTGCTCGGTGTCATAACAAGTGCCGGAGAGTTACACAGCTTTCGCATGTACTGCAAAGCTTGGAAGATGTGCTGCTTAGCTTCCTTATCATCACGACCGGCTTCCTCCGTAAGCTTCTTGCTCTGTTTCTTGGTGAAGTCCTCGAATAGTTTCCTTTGCAGCTCGCTAAGATCGCAGTAGTAGTTTTGGAGAATCTTGGGAGGAAGATCGTCGAGAACTTCCTCTTTCAAACGACGAAGTAAGAATGGTAAGACTTGTTTGTGTAGAGCTTCGATCGCTAGAGCTCCGGCTTCTTGTTCCTTGGAAGAAGCTTTACTGAAGCGACTAGCGGCTATCGGCTTAGCAAATCGATCTAAGAACACCTTTTCGGCTCCAAGGAACCCCGGCATTAAGAAGTCAAAGAGCGACCAGAGCTCTAGGACGTTGTTCTGAATCGGTGTGCCGGTTAGGATTAATCGATGATTACTGGCGAGTCTCTTTACGGCAAGGGTGATCTTCGCTTTGGGATTTTTGATCAAGTGACCTTCATCAAGCACAATGTAATTCCAACTCTGCTTCTCAAGATAGTCGGTATCGTTACGGCAAACTTCATATGAAGTAATGACGACGTCGGTCGAGGCGAACTGAGCTGCCTTGGCCCTTCTTTCGGTAGGAGGTCCAACGAAAGCGGTGACGTTTAGGAAAGGTGCGAACGTCTTTAACTCCTGCTGCCAATGTCCTGAGAGCGTTGGTGGGCAGACAATAAGGGATGGGAGCTTTCGCACGTCTGGAGCACTGGTCTTTTTGAACTCTTCTGCTCTGTTGTAATGATCACTCGCGACGATACAAAGGGTCTGAAGCGTCTTTCCAAGACCCATATCATCGCAGAGGATACCATGGAGGTGGTACCTGTTTAGGAAATGAAGCCAATTGACACCCTCTTGTTGGTACGAACGCAACTCAGCATTGATTGCGACTGGTATTTTGAACGGCTCAACTTTCTTGGGATCAAGGAGCTGTGCGATAAATGTTCTCTCGCGGTCTCTACCCTTTAGTAGCTCTTCGGAGAGACCAGGTGGATCAGGGATGCCAGCTTCGAGGGGTACTAGTTTAACCAACGTAGCAAAGGATGTAGTCGCAATCAGGCGAATATCGTTGTCCGAGTCGCTCATACGACCTAAAACAGGCACGATGAGGAAGATGACGTAAGGGAGGATGCCGTCACCCATGACGGCAATCAAGTGATAAATAGCTTCTATCGCGCCTTGACGGAACTGTAGGTCTATGGGGTTGTTAATAGAAGGCAGCACTTTCTCCACGAGGGCAGTCATGCCCTCCACGGTGATGACACTGCAGATAGTGGCCAAGCATTTTGCAGCCATGTATCGAAATATGGATAATTCTGAATGGAGTGACTTGATGACAAGTGGTACCTGTTGCATTATGAATGGGTGAAGGGCTTTGTCTAACGTCGGTGTCATGGTCCGGATAACCGACATAGCATCTACGATTTCCTGCCCGAACAGATCCTCAGGATCCTTGGCTTCAGCAGGCAGTTCGCCTGAAAATGCTTTCATCAAAGGTTCTTCCATAAAAGCCCTCAAACTCGGGACTGTAGTAAACAGATCTGCACCGAACGTACGGGAGAGAATCTCGAGAGCTTCTTTCGCTCCCCGTCGGGTGATGCGAGCGCCTTTAGCTTCCCGGGCAAACTTAGCAGCGTCTGGCCCATGATCAACTCTGTCTTCCTCTTTTTGCATTGATAGGATGATACTTGTCTTCGTTGCGTGAACTGGAAACTCGGGCGTTTCGGCAACCTCAACACAGGAGAACTTGACTAGATTAGAAACGACCTTGTCGGCGGGGCCCCGCCGGCCTTTCTCGGTGAATAATTGGACTAGCCGGCCAATTGTGTCAGCAGAGCGAGTCTGGAGTTGCTGGTTCTCCTCTAGCTTGATGCTATCCATGATAGCCTTGATTAGAGGGCTTGGTTTCTTGGGGAGCACTTTCATTGCTATGAGAGCGCAGGCCGCTGCAGCTCTAATACGAACGTCTCGCGTGTCTTTGATAGACTTGGCGTCCTCGATCGCTTCTACCGCAGCTGCGCGAAGTTCGTTGAGTTGCTGATTAGCAATCAAGCGTTGCGCTGGTACCATAACTCTCTTTAATCTTTCGAAATCCTCGTTGATGCACTTCTCAGCCGTAGTGAGAGAAAAAGCTCCTGGGCCTGCTTCTGCCTCGCCTTGCACAACAACAGGAAGAGCTGGAAGTTTGTGTTGAGGCACTTTGCCATGGTCTCTGAAGAGACTCATGAGCTGTTGGCATTGTGAACGTACCCGTTGAACGTAACTCACTAGATCACGATATTGGGAAGGTCGTTCCAAATCTACGATCTTTTGCAATTCGCCCATATATCTCGACGTCTCGGCTTGAGATGAAACGCAGTTTCGAGCGTATTCGTCGATCACTATGCACGCCGCGAGTTGGGTAGATGAATAGGATGATGCTAGTCCCGGGACGAGCGTAGCATCGTAGGACTCTAGGTGCTGCGTAGGCACAAGCGACATGATCAAGCCCATTGCTGCTGCTGCAGAGACACGAGAGCGGACAAGGGTATCGATCCCGACTAGGTCTACATCTCCTTGCATCATGTGGCCATCGAGATCGTGTGAGTGAGCAGTTGGGGGCGGATCGTCCACCTTAGTGGACTTCTTTCGCCTCTTCGTAGCTCGCTCTCCCTCTGGCTCGGAACCCTTACGTGCAGTTGAAGGGGCGAAACCGGGTACTGAGTATGTGCCTCCGGATGGTTTAAGGAAGAGCGCACCATTCATAGGTATAGGATGCCGAGAGACTCCAACAGGATGTAGAGTAAGTTGCATAAGGGCATCAATATGTGGGGCAAACTCATGGGCCAGCTTATCTGGATTCTTCGCCAGGCATTTAACTAGAGCAGCCCACAGATCCATGGACATGCGGAGAGTCTCCTGGTCACGTTCCACGAGCATATTTTGGAATATCAATCGGAGGATCCTTCCATCAAGCCAACCTTGGGATTCTGTGCCGAGATTGACAAACGTCATGAGAGCTTTCAAGACGGCAAGACGAACCGAGGTTATTGTATGTCGTAAGAATGGATAAAGTCGCGGAACTAATAGCGTGAAAGATCTCTCTTCGTCTTGTTCGGCAGAATGCTTCATTGCTTCTAAGACCTCGGGGAAGCCGCAGAGAGTAGCTAATAGATCCATAATCTTACCCGTGCTAGCACTAAGGTCATCTCCTAAGCTGGACAGACTTTCCCACATGATGTAAATTAGTTCGTCGAGTGCCCCTGGTCGAAGCTTGACGAACTCCTGGGCTATGGGGATCAAGGTGGCCGC